GATGAGGTATAATCCAGGAAGTTCTCTGACTGCGAAGAGCGCAGTCTCAACCATGTAGCAGTGTCCTCTCAGAAGTAAAAAAAAAGGGAAGAGGCTACACCATTCTACACATTTGAAAGCATCGGCTGCCAGCACCGCCTCTGTTGTAAGCCCACGTAGTCACGGCCCGGGCAAGGGGGGAAGAAGCCATAGGTAGCTGTTGTATGCGACGACAGCCATATTTGCGCCAAGAAGGGAGGTAGCACCGAGGTGGGGTGATGGGAGGAGAAGAAAAGTGGCAGTAATAGGTGGACGTAACAAGTGATGGCCAAAAAACACAGCAAGGCCAGTCAGAGTTTGCAGCATTGTCGGGCAAGAGGAGACAGGAGAGAGTGAATAAGAAAGAAGTGGGCTGTCTCTAGGGAGTAAAGACAGTCACACATAGGAGACACTTTAAAATTTGAATAAAAAACGAAAACGAATTTTGAAAAAATAAAAAAACTACGCCCTGATTCATTCTGCTTTCTTGAGGATTAGACTGGCCGCCTGAATGTGTTAATCGCAGAGACTGAGACGAGGTATAATCCAGGAGGTTCTCTGACTTCAGAGAGCGCAGTTTCAGCCATGCAGCAGTGTCCTCTTGGAAGTGTAAAAAAGGAGACGAGGCTACAACATTCTACACATTCGAAGGCATTGGTTGCCGACACCGCTTTTGTTGTAAGCCCGCGCAGCCACGCCCCGGGCAAGGGGAGAAGAAGCCACAGGTAGCTGCTGTGTGCGATGACAGCCAGCGATCGGTTACATCTGACACGGGTTCGTTAGTACATCATAGTCGTTCAAAAGATTGAAACGATACGGTAAAAACCAAGATAGATTAGTTGTGCAAGTGTGCCGCTTCCTCCTCGGCAGACGGGTGTGTGGCGCTTCCCCCTCGACCACAGAACCGTGGGGAACCTTGCACCTTCTATTATAATGGTTTTTTTTTTGTATATGGATAGTTTGTGATGGTACGAGGATGGATTGTGAAAGAGAGAGTTTGGGGATCTTGACAAC